GATAGGTAAATTCTTACATATATTAAAATTAGCAGACGCGATTGGGCTCCGTACTGTTATCTAAAAACGAGGTACTTTTTAAGTCCAGTTAACTTCCTGGATAACTTTCAGCTCCGCATTTTCTATGGTTGGCACTCGGTCTATTTCAAGTTCTAGAAAGGCATCCAAGCCGTTGCAATCCGATTTGATTGTCCCGTGTTAAAAAATGAATCAGAGAATACTGCTTTTATATAGCAGTCTCACTGCCTTAGTGTAACTGGTAAGGCCTGGGCGAAGTGTTCAAGAATGAGATGCTGAGAAATGATAGAGGAGAAGATTCATGACGAATGTTGTGTCATCCGCCTTGATCCCATAGCCTTAAACCAAATCTTCACTCTCCGCCAGATCTGGAACAATCAGGTTTATGTCTGTCATAGACTTGAACAAAATTAGGATTGAGTACCCAAGTGTAATTAGTAAATGCTGTTACAGTAATGTGAGATGAACTACTCGCAGCTGTATGTTATGTATTTATGTCACTAGACTCCACTCAGAGTGTGTGATTTTCTCTCCTGTTCGTAATTTTTATGGATTGGATCAGTAGACTCAATGCAGTATCACAGCTGATTAGGTCTGTCGGCGGATGATATCGTCATAATTGTTTCGTCAGTCCATCACCTCCAACATATGCACGATCGCTTTCTGCTACAGGAGGAAAGCATGCAAAAAACTTGCCTAATCAATTCCAAAGCTTTCACTCACTCGATGAAGGCAGCTCATTCTGCTCTGCAAATAAGTGGAATGCAGCTAGGATATGTAGAGGCGTATAGGTATCGCGAGGTAGCATCTACGAGTGGCGGATGATTGAAACAAATACAAGGATCAGTTAGACGAACGCTCTAAGACTCAAGTTAAGCCGGTTTATGTGAATAAAGGTGCAGAACCGTAATGTGAAGCTGTCTGTCTTCAAATGTTCTTATGCATGTGGCCTCACCTATAGATATATGTGCTAGACATTGACAAATGAACTGCGATCTTGACAACATGCGAGATTTCTTTTAGTGATTAGTAAGCTTATGACTGCACA